ATATTTCGCTACGATCAGCTCAGGCGTTGCTTGAAGCATATCGAGGAGGATTGGGAGAACGTTTTCAACGCGGACGCGCGGGACATTATGCTAAAATCCGCGAGGACAGGAAAACGCCTGGTTACCATCTGCGGTGTTTTCATGTACAGCGGCGTCATTACCTTTCGAACAATTCTGCCATTGTCCCAGGGAAAGATCGTCACCGATCAGAATGTCACGCTGAGACATTTTGCCTGTCCCGGTTATTTTTTTTCCCTCGACGTGCAAGTCAGCCCCGTTTACGAAACGGTCTTTGTAATCCAGTCTCTAACAGGATTCATTACAGTCTCGGTCGTGACAGGTGCATGTGGCCTCACGGCGATTTTCGTGGTGCATGCTTGCGGCCAGCTGAAAATTTTGATCAACTTGATGAGAAGTTTCGTGCAGAAACAGTGGCGAGAGGAGCGTGAAGTGGATGAGAAACTAGCTGAAATAGTCGAGCATCAAGTAAGAGTGCGCAAGTAAGTTCGCAACTGGCAATCGTTATTCGTGTTCATATTTTTAACACTCGAATAATAAAAATAATTATTAAATAAACTCATAAAATCGATATGTGTTTATTAATAATAATACTTTTTAACAATGTTTCTCGGTGAAAATAATTAACTTCTTATTTGCTCCCATTAATGACATTTATTTTTTTTACCTACTAATTCAGGTAACGTTAATTGTTATCATCAGTAATTGCATTTCAGTTTTTTACGATTGGTGCAGCATACCTTACAGGAAATATATCTGATGGAAATCCTGGTGAACACGATAGCCATTTGCCTTTTAGTGTATTTTATGTTAGTGGTTCGTAAACTTGACAATTAATTTTAATGAGTTGAATAAATTAAATTTTTGGCCTATAAAAAAAAACAGAAAAGATCGAAGCTTCGATAATTATTCATGATTTAGAAATTTTATTTGAATTTCAAACTCTCATGGATAATGCATGTATCGTTGAAAAATCGAAAGTCATTTCAGAGATTTTACAGTTAATCAGTAATAATTATATTATAATTACCAAAAATATTTATATTTATAGGACTGGCAAAATAAGAATATAACAACTTTATGCACTTATGTAGTAAGCGTTGCAAACATAGTAATACACATATTTCTATTTTGCTATACCGGTGAACAGCTTAGCAGCCAGGTACGCCTCATAAATAAATATTAACATTCAATTTTTAAAGCAATGAAATTAGCAATAACACAACGCTCTACAATTATAGAATAATTGATTTTCAAATAATGTACAATTAAAGTTGCATTTAATTTTACTCCTGTAAGAGTCACTGTTGGGTGCTAAAATAAGTTTCATAAATATCTTTATGAGTATATCGTGAAAGAAACACAGGGAATATGTTGCAAATCCTTGAAATAAACGAATGAAAATTAATGGAAAGAAATTTGTTGCTATTGCTACGTGATAAATTCAACGACAGGCGGAAAAGGTAGCCATTGCATCCTGTGAACTTGAATGGTATCGTCTTCCGGACAGAAACATGCGTAGCGTCGTATTGCTGATGATTGTGTCTAACGCGCCGACCAAGATCTCTGCTGGAAAGTTCATGGATCTCTCGCTCAGGACATTTGGTGCTGTAAGTTAACTAATTTTGTATTGATTTACTTGTGTCTACTACAAAAGACTATCGAAGTGTATTGTATTGAAGATATTCATAAATTTTATTAGCCGTTTATCTAATCGCGTTAGTATCGCTATAGTAGCGATGAATGATATAAACATAAATGTTTTACATCTACATATATCAATATTAACAATCAGATAATTTTTAGGTAGAAATCCTTTTTTTATATGTTTTTATAAAATAAGTATTACGTCATTTATATATATGTCAATTTTATTAACGCGTGCCTGTTATTTGCAACCACAATAATTATAATTTATTGGAAATATGTCATCGAGTTGAAAACAATTGGACATGTTTTAGGTCATGAAAACAGCTGGAGCGTATTTTAATATGCTCCGAAGTGTAGTCGAATAAATATTTAAATTCTAATAGTTGAATTACAACGTAAACTGTATATGATATACTCATCATATCATATTGTGTGAATTAAATGTGTACATGAATCAAATACAAAATCTTAATGCCATATATATATATGTAATGCAAAATGTCATTTTAACATGTATATTTAATTATATTTTATTGAACGGTTTATACTATTTAATATCTCTATTAAACGCTTTTATTAAGAATAAATGTTATATTATTTTTACAGCAAGATTAAAAAATTATTAATTGATATGTATAATCCGA